TATAATTATTTTTTTGCAGATGGTAATCCGTAAATTAGGTATTTGTTCTGTTTAAATTTACTGAATATTAACTTAAAAGCAAAGTTCCAATTCTACAACTGGCTACAGGAGGACATGTGTATGAGTGCAGCTGCAGCAATTGTTCGGGGAGGTTGTCTGCACATACACTGTACTGCACCCCATGCACTGTGGCATAGATACTCCGCACGGCGTGTGAGAAACCATCTAGCGGGTGTCACAATTCGGAGAAGTGCAGCAGTTCAGGAAGTTACCAATACCTTGTTGCCGAGCAGCATGATGACCACATCCTTGTGTGCAAATTCGTGCACCTCTGTAAGCCAAGCCTGAAAAATGTCAGAGATGGAGAAATGTTAAAAAAAAAAAAAAAACAACAAAAAAAGAAGAAGAAAACAAACACTCGTACAAATATGTAAATAGCATTTTTTTAAATACTTACAGCTGAACTACAGGCACAAAAACTCTGTTACACATACTCTTCAATAACCACAAAGGATATAAATCTACTTTGTGTGCACCAAATGCCTTTGCAGACCCAGATATTGCCTTGCACAAATGGCAGCAACATCAACACTGTGCTTTACATTGTGCATAGAGCAGAGCTGTGGGAGATCAATTCATTGTATGATAAATAATATGAAATAAATATGGGAAAAGAACAGATTTATGACATTTTCTAATACAGCAGCCGATAATATCTATTTTTAGACCAAATAATTCCCATTGGGCCTTTGTTGGCCATTGTAGGACATGAGTCATACAGATCCGCATTCTACAATTACGAGCTACGTCTTCCCTGCTGCACAACTACGGCTCAGACGTCCCCCCTCCTATAATAAACAATGTCAGGAAGGAGAGGGGTGGAGGAGATGCCACTCCCAGGAATAATGTAAACAATTATAAAGAAGGACTTGGGTACAGCAGAGATATATACAGAGTTGTTGGCTCGTGTATATCACCGACGCTGTTACTGAAGAGATTTTGCAGAGAATATCGAACTATTGACAACAGTCCCTGCTGCTAAGGACTTTTGTAGACAAGGAAAAGGAGTTATTACCAGATAACTTCTTTTTCCAGGAATCCTCCATGACAGCAAGTTTGCGACTGTCCTGGAGGATGAAAGGACAGGCAGGTAAAACGGTTCCCTCATATGTTGTTCATCTGTGAATTTGGCCAGTTAGCTCAGTTGGTTAGAGCATGGTGCTAATAACACAAAGGTTGAGGGTTCAATCCCCATATGGACCATTACCCCTTTCCCTTCCCCACCATCACACATGTTGCTTGTTGTAAGTTAAATCTGTACAAGCTTTTTTTTTGTTGGAGCTGAACTTTATTTGGGGACTGCACGTCTGGCATTGTACCACCAGGTATTTCTGGTAGGTCCTGATCAGGGATGCACCGATACTGCTACTAGTATTGGCGCCGATGCAGAGTACTCATACTCGCCCAAATGCTCCGATGCCTAGCCCGATACCAGAGCTGCTGGTATCGGGAAACTGGGTGGCGAGTCATTACATGTTGCCTGGCTTCCCGATTGGCCGGGAAGCCGGCTCCATGCTCCCTCGTCACCTGGTGAGGAAGGGAGCATGGAGCCAGCTTCTCGACCAATCAGGAAGCCGGGCAATGAGTCATTACACAGCACCCGGCTTCCTTATAGGCCAGAAAGCCGGCTCCATGCTTCATCACCTGGTGACGAGGGAGCATGGAGACGGCTTGCCTGTTAATCGGGAAGCCAGGTGGCGAGTCTTTACACGCCGCCCGGCTTCCTTTATGGGACTTCCGATATCGGTATCGGCGTGTACCGAAAAAAAAAAGTAAATATCGGTACTCGTGCACAATACCAAAAAGACGGTATCTGGGCATCCCTATTGCTTATGGACCACAAATTCACCACAGGGTGATGGACCACATATTCACATCATATGGTGATATGTGGCCTCATGTGGCACCATGTGGCACCATTAATGACTTAGTGGAGCCAGGACCCTTGTCTAGTGGTCTTCTTGCACCACGTCGCGTTATAGGGTGGATTGTACCCTAAAAAAGTATTTTCTTAATATTTTATATATAAAGTGTATTTTTTCAACAAAAAAACAAAACAAAAACAAAAATTGTTTGCCTGAAGCTCTCGTTTAAATAGTTGTGTCTTTTACATTTTTCCCCAACTTTTTATAAAAGCTGATGATTAATATACTTTGACTTTTTTAAAAGATTAAAATACTATTTAAAATGTACATTTTACTAATGAACATTTATGGGCTCTCGCACCTCAGCTGCATGTTGGCCGTTCAGCGCACAGCACGGCATGTTGCTCTTGTGATAGGTGCGCTTTACACCTGCATACAGCCAGCCTGTAGAAACTCAAGCACAGGCTGGCTGAAGATGCGGCTGTACAGGTATGTACATAAAACCCTCTGTATGTTTCCAGAGACGACCGAACACAGTGGGTCAGAGTTCGGTGAAATGCGCAAGTCGCTGTACTTTAGGCTTGTCAGCAGCTAATTTGGCAGGGTTGCCAAATACTTCTGAAGTACTCCCATCACAACTCAATGCAACTGTCAAGCTGCAAGGATTGTAGTGCACATACACAATTTTTCTCATTAGGCCCTGAAGAAGGGGGTGTGTTTTGGACCCCAGAAGCGCATTGGATGCTCTACTTGAATGTCCCCTGGCCCTAATGGAAGAAAGTTACATCTGGACTATTTTGATTGGTGTGGTGCTTCAGTTCTACTGCGTCCACTCAAGCCAGTGATGCTGTGGAGAGCACACATATTCACATCACTTAACTACTGTTGGATGAGAAACACCAAGAGAATAACCACACGGGTCCAGCGCTTTCTTTCCATACTTCCATGGGTATGCATTTTTTTACCAGACAAAAAAAACATTCTGGTCTGGAGATGGTGTGAACAAACCATTAAGGGGCCAGCATGGCAGAGGGTGGTGGGCAAAGCAGACCCCATGACAGAGGAAAACATCTGCTTCCATCCTCTTTTGAATGGATCCCACCCTTCCAGAATTAGCAGCATTCCTTTCCATGGTGCTGGCGACCTGCCTTCACCATGGAGAGGCATGAGCATGTGCAAAAATTTCGAGGCACCCCTAAAAAAGCCAGAAGGCACCCTGGTTGAGAAAGGCTGCACTAGAGCGTTTCTCACAAGATTTAGGGCACTCACCTTTCCCCGGGATCTAACCGGAAATATTATGACCCTACACCAGGTCCCATGAGGCATTGCCAGACTGAACTTGTGGGGTTCTTTTCTCTGCAGGCTCCTGTCATCGGGATCAGGTCACTGCACTTGTAGTCCATTCCTCCAGTCCCGTAGCCAACAGTCTGTGGCTCTGTACGGACAGGGCCTGGGAGGAACGGTCTGCAGGAGCTAGGGTGTTGCACCCACAATCCACCGATCGTGGTGGCATTGCTTCCCCAGGAGTTCTTCTTTAAGGATTGAATAGGGAGAGAGCCATGTTTTGATGGCCATTTTACAGCTATATAGGTTTCTCATGCACCATGATGAAGAAAAAGACACTTCTAAAATGTCTAGAGCCACAAGGCCATTTGTCACTTACACGGATGTTGTCAAATGATGCCTTGTTGGTAACGTCGTATAACAGGAGCAAAGCTGTGGGAAGAGAAATAAGTAATCAGCACAAATTACCATACTGAGCCAGATATTATACTTTATTATAGCCACAGACCAGACCAGACCAGACCAGACCAACCAGGATCTGGGTATTAGAGTTAGTACAACTGATCCACGCACAGGCACTCTCCAGGGATTTCTTGGATAAGTGGCCACAACTGTTGCTGAATAAAAAGACATCCCTATGTTCTAAGTATGCCATTTACAGCTTAAAAAGAGACACAGTCATGAGAAAAATAGGATTTTTTTTTGCGTTTACTGAAGGACACAGCAAAGATCTTGAATCTCTGACCACTGGGTTAAGGCACCACCGTCCGGAGTCCAATAGATATCCCACCGCACTCGTTACCGGTATACCCCTTGCAGATGGGTGCTGAAGTGACTGCAGATGGCGCAGCTGGATTCCAAATAGGCATAGTATGTCACCAGTACACCAGAATCAAGTTTCCACAATGGGCTTTATTGACGCATGTGCATCTTGTCACAGAGAAGGCAACAATTTGGGGGCAATTTGGGTCCCTTCATCAGGCACATCTTGTTCCTGATGAAGGTACCCAGAGCGGCCCCTGAAACATATTGTTCCTGATGAATGGACCCAAAGTGGCCCCAAAACATATTGTGCTTGATGAAGGAACCTGGCCTTGACCTGGACCTGGATGAAGGAAGTGGCCCAAAACATTGCTTTCTCTGTGACAAGATGTACATACGTCAATAAAGACGATTTTGGACACTTGATTGTCGTGTGCTTGTGACATACTATATCCATTTGACCTTCAGGATGAGGACACTAGGAATAAAAAGAAAACACAGCCTAGAGGTGCCCGTGACAAAAGGCCAGGCCCCCCATCTGCTAGAGGAAGCTCAGATGGTCACAAGCAGTACATAAAGAAGAGGTTGCAGTAAAGCGACCGGAGAGGCGGGTACTGTGTCCTTCAGTGAACGCAGAGAAAAGTATTTTACGGAGAGTACAACAAAAATTCTATTTTCTTTTTCCTTCATTGAAGGACACAACGAAGATTTGGAATCCCTGACCATTGGGACATCCCAAAGCAGTGTCTGCCGAGGTGGCGCCATAACCCAATGGCCAGAGATTCAAGATTTATGCGGTGTCCTTCAATGAAGGAAAGAAATATAAAAAACAATTGCCTGAACATACCCCTACAGCAACCTCCAAAACGTTCTGGCACATGGTTGAATGGTATAACATTTTTAAAAGTACCCTTCAAAGCAGGGGCGGGCAAACTCTGGCCCTCCAGCTGTTGTGGGACTAGAAATCCCAAGAAGCACTACAAGATTCTGACAGCTATATGAATGACTCCCAGAGACAGAGGCATCATGGGATTTGCAGTTAAAGCGCTGCGCAAACTGTTGGCGCTATATAAATCCTGTATAATAATAATAGTTTCACCACAGCTGGAGGGCTAGAGTTTGTTTTCAAAGTTGCTCACATTTTATAAGGTCTAGACCAGGGGTGGGCAAACTCCAGCCCTCCAGCTGTGGCGAAACTACAAATCCTATGATGCATCTGTGCCAAAACGTTTTAGAGGTTGCTGTAGGGGTATGTTCAGGCAATAGTTTTTGATATTTCTCTTTCCTTCATTGAAGGACACAGCATAAATCTTGAATCTCTGACCATTGGGTTATGGTGCCACCCCTAGTCTAGACACTTGATCTGACAATCTTTCCTCCGGCAATGTAAATAGGTGCCAACGCCATGACAGACAGGAAATCATGGAGATCTTTCCCCTTTATAAATGCATTTAATGATTTTTAATGAGTGTGGGTGTTGTATATGGTTCGCATGGAGTTCAGCTTTCGGCTAATTAGCTGACTTACCCTGTGCGTCCCTGTAATAGGCATGGGTGACACTCCGAAACCGCTCCTGACCTGCTGTGTCCCAAATCTGCAATATGGAAAACATTTAGAATTAGATATACATCCTGATATTGCATTCACATTAAAATAAACCCCTCCCCTTTAGGGGTAATATTCCAGCCGTCATGTACACGATTCACAACATTGGGGAGATCGGAGTACTATCGTCTCGAGTCCAAGTAGCCTGAGACAAGTATAACCCAGCAAATGAGGGATGATCCAATTATTTTTGGCAAATGTGTTGGAATGAGACCTTCTTTTTTAACCACTTTAGGGCTGCTGGACATACATACACGTCCTCTTCCTGAAGTGGTTGCACCAAGATCATGGCTGCTGTTAAAATCATGACCTCGGTATCCTCTTCTTTAGCAGCAATGCTTGTTAATTACAAGTGATCTGGGCGGCTGTAGAGCTGCCCAGATCACTTTTAGCAGCCTGCTAGTGTGCTGCCCCATTCATGTGCTTGACTGTCTGTACTGGATGGCAGGAGAGACCTATTAGATCTATTAGAACCCTGATGTCTCCACACTGTATCAAATAGGGGCTTGCTATCCCCTTTGTGATAGCAATAAAGTTAAGTGAAAAAAAAAGAAGAAAAGTGTTAAAGTAAAAAATATTAATAGTAATAAAATAAATGTAACACCAACCCCACCATCTGCATGCGAATAAACATGCGTGGCTCGGGCATGCACATACAATGATTTTGCTATACATGTTGGGTATCGCCATGAACATCAGAATGAGAGCAATAATTCTAGGGCCATAATTCACTATTAACTCTAAACTGATGATCAGTAAAGGCTTTTAAATTGTCCCCTTTGAACAATAAGAGTACCATAGTTTTTCCCCATTGCACGGGCGCATGCAATTTTAACACATGATGTTTGGTATCTCTTTACTCGACGTGACCCCATCTTTTATTCATCCAATAAATTGTATATAATATTCTGTTTGTGTGCACTAAAATTCACTTTAGGGTTTTGTTTTTTCCCCCCTAAAAATACAGATTTAATGAATACTTGCACAAATATCATGTGACATTTAAAAATGCAGCTACTTTTTTTTTTGTAGTCTACAGGGCCTCTGCTTTTCAGAAAATATACAACTGTTTGGGGGTTTAAAGTGATTTTCTATCAAAAAATTCAAATTTTAGCATGCGTGTGTAAAAATTAAGAAATTGCTCCAGTACCAAGGTGGTCAAGAAGGATCTATTGTGCAGTAGCCTCAAACCAAACAAGAGGCACAGACAGTTTAGAGTAGGCTTGTGATATCAACTGTTAAAGGAGAACTATGGGGTCAGGGCTTTTCCCCATAGTTCTCCTAAGGGTCACGGGAGAACACAAAATAGCGTTCTCCCGTGACCCAAAGCTCGCAGTATACTGAGACGCCGCAGCCGGGACGGATCCCGACTATACTGTCTGGATCCACCCAGCTGCGGGATTGACAGCTGGCGCTGCCTATCCAGAGGCAGAGCCAGGTGTGCCCGCCCCCTCCCCTGTCCGTTTCGCCAGTCAGCGCTGGAGGATCGGACAAGGGAGGGGGGGATCCCTGCAGGGAGCTGTGAGTGACAGTCACAGCTCTCTGCAGGGACAGGATCGAGAAGTGAGCGAGCGCCGGTATGTGTTCGCTCAGTTCCGATCTATTGAGCCGACCTGTGACAGTTTCATTGTCACAGGTCGGCTCAGATTATGAGGCCGAGTGAAAATCACTCGCCTCATAATTCTGCTTTAATTCTATTTCCAGGAATTTTCCATGATTACACCCTAAAGCTACCTATAGCCAAACAGCGTGGCCAGCTTTGCGGCCACAACACTTAGACAAGGTCAGAGACCATTGGTTGTTCCTGGACGCCATCTTGCACTGCAAGAATTGTTTTCCCCCCAGAGGTACTCGCTGTATTAAAATGACATTTGGTGGACGTTGCTCCTTGTGAGAAGTTTAAGTAAACCTTAGAAGAGTTCTTCTTTAATCATTTACAAGGGTCACTTACCTGCAAGTTAACCTTCAGTCCATCCAGAGTGATGACTTTGTTCTGCACAGAAAACAGAGGTAATCGAGTTAATGTCTCAATGTTTTTAGAGACAAAAAAGGAGTTTATACCATGTTTGATCCAGCCAAAAACAGTAGATGGGTCACATTTTTCACAATGTTTTGATCCAGCTACGGTAGTAAAAAGTTAATTCAGGGCAACAATGCGGTGTCCATAAGTAAATTCAAGATATGGAAATAATTTGAGCAATATAGTGGGGAGGACGGCCAAATATTTAATTTTCTTTTACAGTAAGGCATTGTTAAACCCTGTGTGTTCAATGAACACCAGGCGATGCGTCTGCATCCTAAAAGGTATCATGGACTAGATGTAAAGGCTCCATGAGCACCTGGGGGCAGATGGATGTAATGCAAGCTTCAAACAAATCTGAAGAGAGGTAATTATTCATAAGTCCGATCCTGTGCAGCACACAATCATAAAGCCATCTGTAAAACCCTGGGGGCTAGACATGTGCGCCGTCAAAAAATTGTTTCGTTTCGTTCCGTTTCGTAATATCCATTATTTCGTATCCGAAACTCAATTTGGATTCGTACGAAATACGGATTTTCGTTAGTTTCGGCACATTTTCGTAACTTTACGAACATTCGTTATGATGAAGTTAAAAAGCAAAAATACCTTTGTTAATATTGGAGTCTATGTGGTAGTTTTTGTATCCGAAATACGAATTCCGTTAACAGATTCCGTATCCGAATTTTGTATTTCGGACTTAAAAAAAAAAAACTACCATCAACTCCAATATAAATGTACTTTGCTTTTTAACTTCAATATATAACGAATGTTCGTAACGGAACGAAAATACGTCAACGGAATTTCGTATTTCCTGCCTGTATATTGTAATGCAACCCTCAGCAGCAGCGGATCCGTATTTCGGATTTTAAAAAAAATCTTGTCATGTTATTCAACCTCATTTACAGGGGTAATATTAGTTCCCGTTTCAAAGAAATTCGGATCCGAAATTCGTTAACGGAATTTCGTATTTCGGATATAATTCGGAAACTGCAATTCGGATTTCGTATGCTTACGAATCTACGAATTTCAGGAAAATTCGTACGAATTTAGATTCGTGACGAAACGAAATCGCACATATCTACTGGGGGCACAAAGACGAGTTGTTTGACTCCACACATGCTAGTTTTATAAAAATATATGGGGGAGTTAATATTTGGGTCTACTTCTCGGGGCTATGGTACACATTTTCTTTCCATTGGACTCATTCAGTTGGATAGTCTGAAGTGGATGACAACTCCCTTTGATCTGTAAGGCATAACAATGGAGATCTGAAACCAACTCTTGGCCTTACATCAGGGGTCCTATTAATATGTGTGTGTGTGTGGGGGGGGGG